CTCTCTGGGAGGTAGCTCTTCTCAGCCTCTGCGGCAGCTCAGGGCAGGCGTCACTGTCGTGTCATCAATGAGCTCACGCCTTGGAGTCTTCAATGTTTGTTAAAAGACGGACCTCTGAGTGTTGTGAGCATCTGCTGTGCTAGTGCTACCTCTTCCCCCTGCAATCCTACAGCCTCCAGTCACTCGGTCTGTAAGTAAGCAGAGTTCTCTGTCGGCAGCTGCTAACAGAGTACCCGTGACACAGGCGCCTCTCACGGCCAGTCAGTATCCCGTAGGATCTCCTCAGGGAATTGCTGTCTGTCATCACTGTACCAGCCGGTCCAAAAGCAGTCTGCTGGTGCCTGGGGCTGGGCTCCACCAGGTGCATCCGTGGCACTGGCCTCCCTCCTGAGATGGGCTGCACTGAGCAACTCAGCACACCCCATCCTCCCAGGGGACTGAGAACCTGCACAGAGCATTTTTTTTTTAGTTCTCACTCAGACTGTACACAACTCTTTGGGTATAAAAGGATCCTCCTTCTTTCAGTGTACTCAGTACAGGTGCCACCAGTACAGGGCACTAGACCAACACAGGCACGAAGGGGAAACACGAAGTGGTATCAGTAAGGAAACAAAGTCTAGCCCCACAGGGACCTAGCAAAGAAAGGTTCCACTTTTTAAAATGAGGGTTTATTATCCACGCATGCAGAATGGGAAGGTGCTTGGTCTGCATTAACAGGAATTTCCACTCTTAGAATGTCTGCAGGTACCTGAAATCCACACCACCTTTGTAAGAGGCAGTGACACACAGCGTTGGGTCCAACAAGACGCAGGCTGCATTTTCCAGGCCAGCAGCAGGCACAGATGCTGCCAGAGCACACACCCAAACACAACACACAGCACTCTACCGAAGAGTCACACCCAAGCCTTGGTTTATGGCCTTCCGAAGGAGCAGCTGCCTCTCTGCCACCTCCTGGCAGCTCAGTGCCCTGTCACAGGACTGAAAGGTCAGCCTGTAGCAGAGGCTCTTCTGACCTGTCTCTGCCTGTTGGAAACTGTCGATTAACTGAACAGATACAACCGTTTCACCTGACACCTGCCTAGCAATGGTGTGAAAAGCAACTTCATCAAATGGTTCCCCGTCAGGAAGCCAGAAGCTGACATCGTGCACATAGGAAGGTGGATAGAGAGAAAAACTTTTGAAAAGCCTTAACTCTCCCCTAGGAAACTGATGGAGGAATCGTGTGTCTGGTGTCCAAAGCATCCGCCAGTCCAATATTTCACAGATCAGCATGGCTAGGAGGTCAAGATTCAACGAGGCAAAGACAACAGCCAGCCCACTGCTTACTAGTTCATCCTGAGCTGTCCATACAGTTCCCACACAGAAGCTCTTCTCACAGGAGCCTGTAGGATCCATCCTCGTACACATGAGGTAGTGAATTTTACTAAGCTGACAGTCAAAAGTGGCAAAGGAGTTTTGCTCAGTTGTATCATAATTTGTTTCTTCCTGGAGATTCATATTCAGTTCAACACTGGAAACAGTCTGGTGAAGAGACTGTATACTGGTTTTAATGTTCTTCACCAACGTCTGGATACAGCTGTTCTCTGTACCCCTGTTAACTGCACACACAAAAACCACCTCGTGAAAAACGGGCATGGAGTCAGGAGTGATAAGACACTTCCTGAAAACTGGGCCAGAAAGAACATGAAGTGTCCCTGGAAGAAATGCTCCTCTTTGAATTATTGCCTGAGCATAAGGCAGAAGGGAAGGTCTCAGACAATACTCTTGTGAAACGTGGTGGCCTTCTTGCACATCCACGCAGCCATTCTGATCTCTGGCCCTGCAAAAATCAACATGGGAAAATGAAACTGCGTTTGCCAGCCCACTAGATATTTCTTCAGTGCTTGGAGCTCCCTCTGAGCTCAGAGTGATCCAAAAGACATTGGAGTGACAAACACCATTGAGGTGACCTTCCTGGAGCAGAGAAAGGCAGCAGTCAACGTTTTGTAACGGAAAAGCTTGGCTGAGCTCTGCAGTGAGCTTCTCCTTCACTGTCCGTACTGGATGATTTGAATTTGGGTCTAGGAAACCCCTGTGAAAAACAAAAGTGCAAATTACAGACACTGCTAAAAAGACTTCCCTGAAATGCTTTCCTGTGATCACAATGCAAATGCAGCAATTTACCCCAAGCAAAATCTCAGATATTAAGCTGTTTTCTAGTAACTACTTGAACAAGCCAATTCTTTCAGCAAAAGTGTTGCCATGGCTAACATGTTTTAGGACAGTGGTGTTTGCCTCCAGGTTGCAATCAAAAGTTAACTGCAATTTTCCTGTTAAAAAAGGAATGGAATTTCACAGTCATCATAATTTTCACTCAGCACAGGCATTTCCAAATTACAGAAATTAATCAAACCATGCTGCCCCTGCATAGTCTCCAAAGTATGCAGCAGCTTGCCCAAGAGCTTAACAAATTTTATCCTAGCTACCCTTAGTACTGTGGTATCAGCAGATGTCAAGTCAGCCCCTGAATTTCTTCCACAGTGCACTAAACAGTTTAAAGTTTTCATTTTTATTTGTGTGCTCAACTATACAGCAACTTGGCCTCAACCATAAAGTTTCTCTTTGCTCTGTAGACTTACACTTTAAGTAGGCCATAACCACAAGCCAACATGAAGCAGACTTGAAGAAGAAATGGAAGAGGAAATTCTGTAAAGGGGAAAAGAGGGAAAGTGAAGAAATTCCATTTTACCTGACACCTATGCTGGTCATTCCCTCTGAGAGCAGGAGTTTTTGCCAAACAGAAACTAATTATAAAACTTACCTATTAATTTTATCCACAAGCACTTGTGGTACTTGAAAAGAAACCTTTTGGCTTTCCAGTTGTATCTCACAGCTCATAGGTTTGAAACATGGAACTGGTGTGCTCTGTGTGAAAATGTGGGTTAAAGCACCCTCCACACAGAAAGATTTATCTTGACTCCTGACAACACACAAAAGTAGAACAGAGTTATTGATTAGCTCCTATATTTAATGTTTCACAAGTAAGCATTACACAGATACCTCTTTGTAACACTAGGTCACCTCCTGTTGAATCCTAGGTCTTGTTACAAGGTGACAAAAATAGAACATTTCTGTATTTCTACTGGGCACCTGGTCGAACAATGGAAAGAGTCACACAGAGGGGCTGTGCTGCCTCAGTCCCTGGAGGCTGAATATGGCCCTGAGCAACTCTGTCTCTGTGCTGAGCTGTGGGGTGGGACCAGAAGATTGCCAGTGGTCCCTCCCAACATAACCACACTGTGACGCTGTGCTTGTCTGCTAAGCAGATACACCGCAGTTGTCTTACTGTCTGTAGGGGGAAATTGACATTTATTCTGAAAGTGACTAGTTGACCTGTAAAATTATAAGCCAATCTTACTTTTTGGAGGGTACTTTGGCAAGAAGCTTGCATTTTTGTCTTGGCTATTCTGCTTTGAGGCAAAAAAGAACTGTAGATTCCTTAAAGAAAATTAAAGGGAGTTTCTCTCCCCAACGAACAGGATACTAAAAAGAACATACTAGTGCTAGGCGTTACAAGACCATGAAGATAAACTTCTCAGTTTTGCCACATGGTGGTTACCTGTAGCCTGTACACTTATATCCATGGATAGTCTCTGCTTTAAAAGGATGAACGTTACTTAAGATAAATCCAGCTCCTGCTGCTACAGCCACTATTTGCCAGCTGTTGTGCCATTCTCTCCTTCGCTGATCAGCAGGCGTCCCACCTTGTCCATTGCAAAGAGCCACGTGGACCTCTCCCTCCTCTGCCAGCACTTCTGCAGAGCTGGAAGGAAAGCCAGGGAAGAAGAAAAATACTGCTGGCACACCTAGAAGTTCTATGGTGCCAGAAAAACACCAGTAACACAGCTGGAAATCAGTATTACAGCAGTCAGTTAGCACAGAACTACTTCTGGTTTACTCACCTACGGAAAAAGCGTGCAAGAAGCTCTCTGTTCTTCACAACCCCAGCCTTTCTCCCACAGTGAGGGAAGTTAAAATAAATACAGTCAAATGCCCTTTTTTCTGGTGAAAAATAGTCCTTCAGCTTGGTGCAGTCCACAGAAAACAAAACTTCATTTCCTTCAAAAGTAAATGAAAAACAAGACTCTTATGCTTATCATAGAAAATGTTAAAGAAAGGTAGAAATTAAAGCCCCCTACTGCATTTTTAAGCATATCAGAGCATCAGCTGCTGGACATCTTCCCACTCAAATGCATTAGGAAACACAGAAAGCATAGGCTCACCTTGCTCCCTTGTAGAGACCCCTGCTAACTGGCTAGTTGTTTCAGTATGACTGGAGTTTAGGGTATTTAATTTAACCTCTCAGACAATTCCAATTCCTCGTGGCAAAAGCGGTCTTCTGAGACGCCTGGAGCGCTGAAGGGCTGTAAAGCGCCTGGCCAGGTCCCCCGGAGGCCCCCA